CAAATGAAGGTTTAGTAAATAATAGTACTGAAGGTTGGATATGTTGCGAGTGAGCAAGATGTCGAGGAATGGAAGGGAATTGGATGGCTAAAGTTAAAGGGTCAATGGAACTCATTATTGAAATAATTTTATTTAAATCATTTTAATTACCGTCAAACAGGGTAAAGGTATTGTCAGACAGAGCAAAGGTAGCGGAACCACACAGGAAAGTTTAAAATTTCAAATAATTTTGATTCATAATAATGGATATGGATAACGGCAAGGCTAGGACTAAGAGGACTTTCCATGGCTAATTCCTCTTTTTCTTGTAATACTTATTTAAAAATACAAAATGTGTTTATTTCAGAAATTAATTCATCAAGTTCTATGCAGAAGAAATGAAATTCTCGAAGTCTCGTTTCTAGACATTAAAGTGTGCCTTCCCACTGGCATGTTGAAACCATGACAAAATTTCTAAGGGAAATACATTATAATTTTTTTATAAACTCTATTGAATTTTTTATAATGTGAGTGTTATTAACTAACAAATTCGAAAGTCTAGAAACTAAATATTTAGCTAATGGTTACGAAGAAGTGCTTAAATCTGATACAATGGTATAAACGACTTTTTTTAAAAAGTGGATCAAATGGATTTGCAAAGATTTAATCCTAGTTTTTCCGATATATCCGAAGGTGAAGCGTCTTTAGAGATCAGATTTTATGGGCCTTTGATAAAGAGTTTAGCGACACCAGTGTAAATGTTTTTATCGACGACGACTATCTGGTCATCTTTGTCAGCCTTTGAAATGATAATATCTGGGTTAGAATTAACTTCGCGCAAAGTAGCTTTTTCAACTGTATTCTAAGGTTTGGTTTATTTAATAATGGCAAAGTAATCGAAGGCTATCTGCCTAAGGGGAAGGATGCCTTTGTGGATTACTTTCAAAGGGAAATTGGTTTGTACACACTTAGAGCATAAACCACGAAAACATCCATGCACCCAGCCGGTTCGCCGGGATTCGAGTCCCGAACCGAACTATCAGTCTGCAACGACTTTCCCGCCCGGCCGCTGGTGGAGCTGCATTCTAAGATTCTAAAGTTTACAGTTAAAATTTACATTACGAGCGATAAGATGATGATTCAATTAATTGATTGTGATAATTTAAAACAACAGAGCTCTCATGGTTACGGTTACAGTGAAAATACTTCAACATTTTAGAATAGCAACACCCACTTTTTTTCCTGTGCAAATTGATCAGCGCATTGAAAAAGCACAAATCGTGTTGGAAAGATACGCGTATGACGAAAATTGTAGGCCTCATTTTCCCCCCTTTCCTCACCTTGTGTTCTCATTGGTCCTTTACAATGCTCTTCTTTGCAAATGTTTTATGCCAGCAAATTTCGCCATACGTATATCATTCTAACACCCTTTATGGTTTTTCAATGCGCTGATCAATTTGTGCGGGAAAAAAGTGGATGTTGTCATTCGAAAATGTCGAAATTTTTCTCTCTAACCGTAACCGGAAGAGCTCGATTGTTTTAAATCACCACAATCTCGAGCTTAGACCTTCAAATCAGAATATCTGAAATTTCCTTTGGAATGGCTGACCGGATAAGTCGCTAGGGGTTTATATATCGAAGTAGTTTTTTATGACTACCGTGTATATACATGGTTGCTTCAGCGCTTAAAGGAAGACATGAATTAAAGAAATAATTATATAAAACATTATGTAGTTTAGTCGTATGTTCCTATTAATGAAGCTTAGTATGGTTTCACTAGGGAAGATATCTGGTGTGTACAATGGGCCCTAAAGAATTCCTCACCCGCCTTTATTTTCTCGGTCTTTGATCGTAATCGTAGACATGCATCTGATTATAAAAATGGTTTAAATTGCGTAAATATTCATATTTTTGCATTCTTAAGTTTAAAATCTGACCTTTTATGAATTCCTTCGGTCCAAGATTTTCATCTACTAGTTCGTGTAAAAATTGCGTATTATTTAAACTCTTTATATTACTGCTTGGTAAATCATATTTCTTTTACTTCGATTTCTCTATTACTTTCATATACTCACACATATTCATATGCGAGCATTCAAATTTTCTTCTGTATTTAGGAAATGAGTTTTTATGAGATTAAATTGCTATGAGGCTGTGAATTCAAGTATAAGTGAAAAGAAAACAAACATATTTAGTAAGCATTTAGAAGTGATTTCGAATATTCTTTGCCAGTTTGCTAATACAGGCCTTTTCGTTTCGTATGAATTCTTAGTTAATACACCAATTTGTATAATACAGTCAATAAAATTGAGTTCCCTATTATTTCTATTTTTCTCTTTGTTTAGAAATTGTGCTTAACACATAAATATTTAGAATATTTGTGATTCAATATTCACGCTAATTTTTAGATACATGCACGCTTGAATTTTAATGCAACTTTTAAAAAGTGCCATTATTTACCATTTTATAATTTCAAAAAGTGCTAATTTATTATTATTATATGGTGTTTAATTTTATAATTTTTAAAAAGTGCGCTTTAATTAATTTTTTTAAAAAGGGCCATCATTTATTATTGTGTATCTGGAATTTGTGAATATTAATAATCTCTGAATATCTCTATATTTGAAGAAACTTTGTAGCTAAAAAAAAAATGAATTAAAATCAATGTTCTAAAAAGCTTTCTTCTTTCAAAAAGCGAGTTTTAAATTAATAACAAAAGATATATTTTAAAGTATACAATATTTTTATTTTATTTCTTCAGAAATTATCGGAAGTTATTAAGTGAAATGTAGTATACACACATAGGCCATTATAAGTATTTTTACACAGGATATAGTATTATATTATATTATATGCATAACGAATATAAGTAGTACATCTCTATTTAATAATTAGCAAAATAGTAACAGTCAGTCAATGAACATTTGCTGGGGATGTAAACCAACATATTGTGCTAATCATCTACGTGATTTACGTTAAGAAAGTCTTGACTCTTCATTGCTATCAACTAATATTCTTCAAGCCAACTGATAATCCAACACAGTTATATAAATCTAATTTGACAGAAGCTATTATTCTTCAGGTAATATCAAATGACCGATGATAATAATCCGAGTTGCAGACCTTGATTATGAAGTTTCTTAAAGGGTTTATTTCCTGTGCATATAAGTTTTTTCGTGAACTATGTCAAAGCGCTGAGCTATCGAAAGCTTACACAACACTAGGATATGAAGATGAGAGTTTTTCGATAAGTTTCTGATTTTGTTCTTAATTTTCCAAAGTCCCGTTAAACGAAAATGTCTGAAATATTGTATTTAAAAGTTTTTATTTAATATGTGTTTGTTATGAATTATTCAGGATGCTTTCAGAAAACAGTGTAGAGTATCATGTTTAATTCAGTTGAACTCACATGAATTCAGTTGTTTCATTTGATAAATATAATTATTATACTTTCTAAATTAATAACTCATGCGTTTCGGGATACACCTTTCTTGCTTATAATGTGACATGAACTTGTCTAACGGAAATCATATTTTGCAACAGGGTGAATTAATAAGGATGGATTTTATTTCTCTCCTTTTTCACTAATATTATTTCATTTTCTTCCTTAGTGTTACCGATATTTTACTACTATTTTCTCCCAATAACGATTTAATCTCAGCTCTGATTATCGCCCAGGCAGGCCCATGAGGCCAGAGCCTACGACCCAGACTTCAGGAATCCCTAAATCATCCTATAATTTTTCTTAGTACTGTTTTTTCGTCCTAAATAAAGGAAGATGGGTATTGGGTGACCTGAAATACAGTCTGAGGCTGCTATGCCGAGGTCCACAGAGTGCATAAATCGGATCCTCGGTAAGATGCATTTTAGTTCACCTTCAGAAATTTTTTAAAAACTTTTAAATCTACATATTTATACATTAACAACGATGGCCATGTAAACTGGGGGTGTAGTTTTCTTCACTTCAATTTCAATTATAGCATTTTCAAAACTATTATTGACCTAAGATCTGCACTTGCAACAACATATTTTCTTGTATTTCAAAAATTTGTTTAACTTCATAATGGAGATTAGAAAAGTTTCCTAAGATTCATTTCGTTATTTTGATACCGTTATGTTATTCCTAAGTTTTATCTATAGTTCAGCTCTGTTAGTTTGTCATTTTACATTACAGCGTAAGGTTTGCTGGTGTGTTTTGCATATTAATTCTAAACGAACTCACACATTTATTAACAGTCATTATAATCATATAGAATCAATAATCAATTAAGGTTTCATAGTTTGGGAAAATATTAAAAAAATATTGTTTTCTAAACTATGAACCCCGTTTCCCCCTTTTTTTTTCAGTTTCAGGATAGCCAGTTAAACTGCGTTATTTTTATTCAATAAATTCCGTTAGAAAGGCACTCAAGATGCCTTCTATCTCCATCCATCATAGTCAGCTAAACCTAGTATGCTTTATAATAATCTAAATAATTAAACTCAATAAACTACTCTATAATCTACGAAAATTTTGCCGTTGTTTTATAAATTTTTATGTTTCTGGGGACATTCAAATTTTATGTTGATAAGGATTTAAGAATTCTTGCAGTATTATACTTCATTAACTTTTGACAAAAATATTAATATTTTGCAAATTAACTCACAACCGGTATCCTCAAGCGTTTTATTTCTAAATTTTAAACTAAGTGTACAAGGTGAGCCCTAGTAGTCTATGCCACGCCTTATTGGAAAATAATAGTTTCAGATTAAGCTTTAAAAATTGAAAACCACTAAAAATTTGGTAAAAATGGGCTTGGTTCGAGTCAGTATTGTAAAAGTTTGTAATTTCAGTTAGTCTTCACAGGCTTTTAAATTATTTACTTTATAGTTCTCTTCTTATTTTAAATTTATCGTGTGATTACGTGTTATAGTAAAATTGAAATTTAGTGCAGTAATAAATTAAGACTTGCAGTACGGTCTCACGCTTAAAAGCGGTTCATTTACTCAATTTGATTAACATATTTATTTCTATTGAATTCCTATTGCAAGTTCATATTTTTACATCGCATGGTTTCCACTGAATCATTTTGACCACTAGTTATGCGTTTTTGTACTGAAATTGCACTACTTAATCGTTCTTTCACGATTAAAATTTCTCTACGAATGTTAGAATTAAGCCAACCGTAAAGGATAGGATTACTGGTAGCAGAAGTCATCGCAATAATGTGACATATGACGAAGGATAAATAAAGATTTTGAGGGCTCATGGAAGTCGGATGAAAATCAGCAATCAAATTAAGAATATTCCATGGCAACCAAGTCAAACTGAAAACAATTGTTATAGTCAAGAGTACAATAGTCGCTCTTCGGTTTCTTCGTAATTCCTTTTGGACTCTGTCTTCACTAGGACGGTTGTTAAACTTGTTGAAACGGCTAACAGCATAGTTTAAATGAGATTCGATCCGTAAATGTGTAATAAACAAGACTAGGGCTGGAATTAAAAACTGGGCAAGAACAGTGATTACTGTGTATATTCCTTTGGCTTTTGTCCAAGGCCAACTTTCGATGCATTTTTCGTAAGTGTATATGCCCGGCAATCCAACATTTTTGATTGTCTGAGCATAAGAAATAGGACTTGAAAGTACGAAAGAAATCAGCCAGACACTAATAATACTACACATAACTCCTTTGTTTTTCTTTTTCCTTCCTGCTGGAAATGCGTTTAAAACGTTTTTGTGCCTATCAACAGCAATTACACTAACTGTTGCGGATGACAAGAAAACAGTCGATCCTTGCACAAATGGTACAAATTTGCATAGAATTTCTCCTAGAATCCACCTTTTTCTGATGACAGCAACTAGAGTGAATGGTATGCAAAACACACACATAATCAAGTCCGCAATATTCAGATTTATGACGTAAGGATATCGTGGACTACAAATTTGAGCATTTCTTAGTATAATTCCCGATATCAGGAAATTGCTGATGACTCCACTAATGATAAGTGTAGAATATAAGCATATGATAATTATTTCCGTGTTTCGATCGAAAACTTTATCCTTGGAGAAATGTTGTTGAAGTTCCTTTTCCGCATCGTCTAAGCTAAAGTTGAGTCGTGGTAAATATGACAGGTTTTTACCACTGAGCTGATCAATCGATAGCTGAACTGATGACATGTCTTTTAACAGAGAATCGGTTTTTGCGGTATCAGCACCTGGAATAAAAAAAATGATATGTTATCAGTTACATATATTTTTGAAGTAAATTTCTAACATACATTCCATTACTTCTAGGCAAATTAAAATATCGATGCTTCTCTCATCCGCAAGAAAAGGTGGCATAAGTAAAAGAAAAGTGTAAAACGGAAGAGAAGTTTTGGAGTCTATTACTAGTATTTTATTGAAAACTAATCTGAAATGCAACGTTTCATACGTCGTTAGGCTACCTTTGAGTGCTTAAAATGCATTCCAGATTAACTGAAAATTTAGTTTGAAATTTCTTTTTGAACAGAAAAGAGCTAAGCTGGTATGTTGTATTCACTAACAAGATGGATTAGATTATTGTTTTTTACCTATTTTAAATTTATCTTTTTATTCTTCCTGATAAAAAGATGCTGTAAACACTCTGATACCCCATCTTCGTCCAGAAGAATATAAAATATACGCGTAAAACATTTTGTTTTTCCTTGAAGAAATGAAATCTTGCAGAAAGGTGCCTGAGGGATGTTTTCCCCACCTTAACTTACAAACTTTTTCTATTATTCATTCTAGTAGTGTTGTCATTTCCATCGCTTACAAAATTAAAGTATTGGAACACCCAGCACTAGTAATTCGAGTTGAGTTCATATCCCTGCAAACTTTCTGGCTGCATGGGCGTTCTGGGATTTTTCCTCAAGTGTAATGCTAATGCGAAAACTTTTGCCTAGAAAAACCTTCACATAGGCGCTCTTGTCAGTCAGACAACCTTCGTGTATTTTGTCATATTTGATTCAAATAAAATAATAATATTAGATTCGATATACGCTGTCAAAACTATTCAAATTAAAAATGTTTATCAAATTGTAATTCTGCTCAAGAAAGTAGATTGGTACTAATCTCGCTTACTTTATTATTGTCTCTCAATCACCGAAAGGAGTAAATCAATTTTGTTTCGCAAGTGATCGAATCTATTTTATATCTGAAGCAGCTAACATTTACATTGCTGACTTATAACGACTCTTTTACTGTTCGCGATAATTTTCGTTATACAAGATAATATCAAGATCATATTTACGTGAGGCAGCTGGTCGGCTAGTTAATTAACTATCGCAAAGCCTCGTGGGATATCTGCTTGAGAGGAAGCTTGCCTTCATAGAATTGTTTCTAAAGAAAATTAACTGTGTTTCTATATTAGGCATAGAAAAGGCAAAAAATTACACTCAGCCATCCCTGGGTGAAAGGCTAACTGCCAGTTTTTCCGCCACTACCCACTGGTGGGCAGATGAAACACCTGATTTCTGTTCTAAACCTTTTTAGAATATAGGCATCGATTTCGTCGGTATGAAACCTTCTTGCATCAAAACGGCACTTACTTTCTTACAACTAATAACTTTTTGCTCACGAACTTCTCTTTCCTTACAACCAAACAGTTTTTCTGCAATAATATTTCTTTTACTTTCACATTTATAATAAAGATTTTACTTTGCAGATATGATGAAACTGAAAGGTATCGTTATCACTGTCTATTAACAGGTAACTGAACAATTTAACTGAATTAGGATCTTCTTCCAGTAAAAAGTACTTAATTTACGGAATTAGAAAGAAGAGAAAAAGAGCGATTAGATCTTTTCCCTTGAGTCATTTATCTTTTAAAAATGAAACAAATATTTCTGATTTGGGTACTTACGTATTATCCATCGACCATGAAACTATTGCCAAACAACGAGATTTAGCTCCAGTTATGGATAAGCGTGAGGTAACAACACACTCATTACATATGCGTTTTCGGTAGACTGATTGAGTTTAGACAAGCCATATTTTGTTTTTATGGTTTAGAATGATTTGGTTTGGATGGCAAACCACTCGATAGCTATGTGCCTAAGAGAAGGAATACCTTTGCGGAGCACTTTTTAAGAGGAAGTAGCATGTACACAGGTTACATATGGCAAAAACCACGAAAACGCCCATGCAGTCAGCCCGTTCATCTCGGACCGAACTGCCGGTGTTCAGCGACTTTACCGCTCGGCCGCTGGTCGGCTTTGTTTTTATGACCAAAGGTATAAATTATTTGCTATTGTTGTTTTTTTTTCTTGCATTTAAAAAATATTTATGTTTGGGAACTACTTTCTAGAAAATATCATAGGAAAAGTGTATCCTAATGAATAAGACATGGTTAGCTGCATATGGTCGATAAAACAAAGCTTCCAATAAAATCGGAGGGCCTAACAAAACGGCAGAAACCGGCGAAAGCTTTTTTTCTGAAGAGTAAAAACAAAGTGGGTCGAAAACTGATTAGTTGAGAAATAAAGAGACGTCAATTATTTAAAAATTCTGCAGGAACGACTTTCGCAACTTTGGTAAGATCTCCATCAACTTTCCCGATTCAATGGCAGTCAACATTTACGCTCGACGGGATAATACATAATACCTATAATTATAATACGTTACTATCCTAACTCTTTTTCTTTTTAGTATGATCATCTGAAAGCCGACCAAGTTTTCTCATTATAAATTTTAACAAGCTACCACCAACAAGGCTCAGCAAAAATAAATAAATGAAATAAAATGAAGAACAGGAATGTAGTTGGTAATATGAGTTCAGTTCGTCAAAACTACGGTGAACACTGGTAGTTCTGTCCGATGTTCGAATCCCGCGAATGGGCTGGCTGCATGGGCGTTTTCGTGGTTTTCCCCATGTTTAACGTGTATACGAGCCAGGTTCCCTTAGAAAGTCCTCCACGAAGGCATCCCTCTCTTAAGGCAGATAGCCATCGAGTGCTTTGCCGTAATCTAATAAAACCAAACCAAACTTCAAAACTACGGTATGATTTCTTTTCGTTGTTATTTCAACTCCTTGTGTTCCACAAAGTATACCCTAGAGCTTATACAAGTAAGTTAGCACTAATGAAGTAAATAAATAAATGTATAATAGCACTGCAAATGGTAAAAAAAAAATATAAAAAAGTAAGTAAAAGAAAAGAAAAATAAAAAATAATAAAACAAAGAAAACTCAGTAATCTAAATTGAGAATGAAATTACGAAAAGCAGAAATTGTCTCTTTAGTCCGAAAAAGTTCAGAAAAATTTGGTGGCCATGGTACAGACAAGCGTTTCAAAGTTGCTGAAATACTTTCCTTTGCTGGGCATGAAAGCACTCAAGAAGAATATGCTTTATATCTTCATTTCCGTTACCACAGCTGCACAAAGCACGTGAAGAAAGTCCAACTAGCTTTAAATACCTCTTAAAATTGCCATGTCCAATCAAAATTTGAGTTTAAAAATTTTTGAAAAATTGTAGGAAAATGCCTTTTGGTCAATTTTGCTTTTGATGAGGCTAGATATTCTCTGTTCCAGATATATATAGCAATATTTCTATTTTCTATAAAAGCGCTTCCAGTGAGAAACAGGAACACGGAGATTTAAATCATTTTGAAGTTTCATGACTAGCTTTGCTGGTCACGAAACTTCAAATTGTATAGGCAGAATATTGCATAGAAATTGCAAACAAATTGTATAGAAATATTTTGTATAGAAAAAACTAATTGTATCAAAATAGCTTTGCTAGTGTATCAACCCTCTCATTTCCAAATTTTGCAATGTCTACGAACGTACACAAAATAAATCTCGATATCAAGAGCTTAATAATAACCTGAATTACAACAGCAAGCTTCTTTGAAACACAAATTTTCTGCATAATATTTGTACAGAAGAAAGAGAATCACTACATCATAAAATGCGCATTGATGCCCAGCCACTATAAGAATTTTGGAATCATTTCACAGCGAAGTTGAAGCATAGCAACTCAACGTGAAAAACAGAGCACTTATCGCTGTTTGAAACCTCTTTCTTGTTTACCTTCATAAACAACGAAAGCAAAGCCAGCCTTATCATTTATCTTACTTTCGTCAGTAAAACAAATTAATTTGTACTCTTCAAGAGTAGCATCGAAATAACCAAAAACCGGTATAGGATGCTCTTGAAAGAATGCAGTAAAGAAGAAGCTGGAAGACTGCCATCAAGAAAATTTGATAAGGATTGCGCGCAAATACTTTTTTTCATCTCAATATTGCTCCAAATTTCAATATCTATGGGCGGAATACCAGCGACAGTAAAAAGTTGCCCCGTAACTAATAGTTCTGTAGGCACGAGTAATTCTTAAAAGAAATCTTTGAATTTTCCTTAGAAGCTTCCAGTTTTACTTTTTCCAGTAAAGAACGGCCCCAAACCCTTGATGCCTAGGAAATAACCGGCATTATTCTTTGCCTATAGATCAATTTAAGAGCATCTATATTGACTCCATAAGTGGTTTTAGAAATTTTAAATAATCCTGATAATACCTTCTCGCATATTTCTGAGACATGGGAAATATGATATTTCCATTGAAATTCGTTATCCGAGAAACTTTTATATAATTTGAGTAACATCTTCTACAGGAACGTCCCCAAATAATAAATTTATTCTGCAGTCAGTATTCATCTTTTCAATGTACCATTATAACTTTGCTTTTAAGCGGATCGAATTTCAGTTTATAAAGTTTGGACCACCGAAGAGCAATATCAAATAAATCTTGAAATAAAGGACAAACATCAACGAAACGTTTGCACTGAAGAATTAAAAGAAAATCTTCCGCAAAAGCAACTTTAAAGCCGTTTTGAAAAGCAGATAATTCACATGAAAGATCATTAATTATAAGATTCTTCAAAAAGGGTCCAAAGACATATCGTTGAGGTTAGCCCTTTCCCAAACTAAGTTCTTTCGTAATATTACCTAGAGAATGTTATACAGTGTGAGTAGACAAAAAACCCCTTGATCAGTAGAAAGTGTTCCTAAGTACATTAGCATGTTTCGATAACTTTTTGATTCCTGGACACGAAGGGCATTTTTAAAATCTCCTTTTATATCCAGAAACATCAAAATCATAAGATAGTTTTTCCGCGTACCTTTGTCATACAAGCAAAGAAGCGCATCTTCAGCCGAACGCTGAGGCGCAAAGTCGTATCGATCCTTATCCAATGTAT